CTAGCCAACCTTATTTAAAAAAGGGAAGAAAAAGTTCAAATTCATGCAATAAGAAATGAAAAAGGAGAAATCACTACAGACCCAATAGAAATACAGAGGATCATCAACACCTATTTCGAAAACCTCTACTCTCAAAAGTTTGATAACACAGAAGAAGTAGACAGATTCTTAGAAACATATGAAGTACCAAAGCTAGATCAGGAAGATGTAAAACTGTTGAATAACCCAATCTCTGTTAATGAAATTGAAAATGTCACTAAGTCCTTACCTACAAAAAAGAGCCCAGGCCCAGATGCATTCACTGCAGAATTCTACAAGAAATACAAAGAAGACCTAATGCCGACACTCCTCAAACTATTCAATGAAATTGAAAGGGAAGCAATCCTTCGTAAGTCATTCCTGGAAGCAAATATTACTCTAGTACCAAAACCTGAGAAAGACCCAACTAAAAAAGAGAACTATAGACCGATCTCCCTAATGAACACAGATGCAAAAATCTTCAATAAAATATTGGCAAATAGGATGCAGCAAATCATCAAGAAGATTATACACCATGACCAAGTGGGATTCATCCCAGGAATGCAAGGATGGTTCAACATACGTAAATCAATAAATGTAATCCACCATATCAATAAATCCAAAAGTAAGAATCACATGATCATTTCTATAGATGCGGAAAAAGCCTTCGATAAGGTCCAATATTTATTCATGATAAGAACTTTACAGAAAATTGGAATAGATGGTCTTTATCTCAATATAATAAAGGCCATTTATGACAAACCAACAGCCAACATCATACTAAATGGCCAAAAATTGAAAGCCTTTACTTTAAAATCAGGCACAAGACAAGGATGTCCTTTATCACTACTCCTATTTAATATAGTACTGGAAGTACTAGCCGGAGCAATTAGGCAAGAGAGAGAAATAAAAGGGGTAAAGATAGGAAAAGAAGAAGTTAATTATCATTGTTTGCAGATGACATAATACTCTACACAGAAGACCCCCTAAACTCCATTGAAAGACTCTTAGATACAATAAATGAATTCAGTTATGTGGCTGGATACAAAATCAATATTCAGAAATCAATAGCATTCCTATACATGAACAACAAAATCACAGAGAGGGAAATAAGAGAAACTACACTCTTCACATTAGCAAGCAAAAAAATGAAATATTTAGGAATTACTCTTACAAAAGAAGTGAAAGATTTATACAGTGAAAATTATAATACACTGAAAAAAGAAATTGAAGATGATCTCAGAAAATGGAAATACATCCCTTACTCATGGATAGGAAGAACAAACATTGTGAAAATGGCCATTCTCGCAAAACTGTTAGACAGATTCAATGCAATCCCAATAGAAATACCATCAACATACCTTATAGATCTAGAGAAATCACTCCTAAATTTCATCTGGAACCAGAAGAGACCTAGAATAGCAAAGGAAATTCTAAGCAGCAAAGACAAAGCAGGAGGCATCACAATCCCTGACTTTAAGTTATACTACAAAGCAACAGTAGTAAAATCAACATGGTATTGGAATCAAAACAGAGCCGAAGATCAATGGAATAGATTAGAAGATACAACCACAGCTACAAACACACTCAACCACCTTATCTTTGATAAAGGAGCCAAGCAGGTTCACTGGAAGAACGACAGTCTCTTTCATAAATGGTGCTGGAAAAACTGGCTCTCCATTTGCCGAAAACTAAAGCTAGACCCATGTCTATCACCATGTACTAAATTAAAATCTAAATGGGTCAAAGATCTGACTATTAAAACAGAAACACTAAATCTATTGGAAGACAAATTGGGTAGAAATCTTGAAGACATAGGAGTAGGTAGAGAATTCATGAACAGGACTCAAACCACATGGGAAATACTTCCCAGAATCAATAGCTGGAACACTTCTTATTAAAAAGTTTCTGCATGTCAAAACAAATCTCCAGCATGGTAAAAAGAAAACCCACAAACTGGGAAAAGATTTTCATAAACTCTCTCTCAGACAAGGGACTCTTGTCTAAAACATATAAAGAATTAAAAAAAACTCAGACCCCCAAAATTCAAAGATCCAATCCAAAAATGGGCATCTGAGATGAATATGCACTTCTCAGATGAAGAAATGCAAATGGCAAGTAAATACATGAAAAAATGTTCATCATCATTAGTCATTAGACAAATGCAAATTAAAATGACACTGAGATACCATCTCACTCCTGAAAGAATGGCCAGGATCAAGAAAACCAACAACAACAAATGCTGGAGAGGCTGTGGGGAAAAAGGAACTTTCCTGCAATGTTGGTGGGAGTGTAGACTGGCACAGCCTTTGTGGAGGTCCGTCTGGAGATTTCTCAAAAAGCTGGGATTGGAAGTCCCATTTATTCCAGCTATTCCACTTCTAGGCATATTCCCAGAAGAACTGAAAGCATCATACCACAGTGATATATGTGCACCTATGTTTATAGCAGCACAATTTGTAATCGCCAGATCTTGGAAACAACACAAGTGTCCATCAACTGAGGAATGGATAAAAAAGTTGTGGTATTTCTATACAATGGACTATTATTCAACTATAAAGAAGGATCACATTGAGATATTTATCAATAAATGGGCACAGCTTGAGACCATACTCATAAGTGAAATAAATCAATCTCGCATGTATGAATACCGAATAGTTTCCCTAATGTAAGTAGTGATTCAAATATATAAAAATATGTGGTAATCATGATTCCCCATTATGTGGCCTTGAAGCCTTATAAAGTTTTTACTTATTAATTGGAAAGGCTTTATTCTGGGCTTCTTGATATGGAAATACTTGAAGCTATAGTACATGAAGTTTTATTCAAATATTTCAAGGAAAAAGCCAGACACTATGGTAACTACTATTAAGTCGGGTTATTTGGTGGTGAACCACTAGATTGCTGAAACAGTCATGCTTTGACCTGTATTGTTATATTGTTATGTCCTGTTTTATCTCAATCTATGCCTTATTCATTAAAAAATTATTAAGTTATTTTTTATGTTTTTTTTAATTAAGGGGAAAAATTAAAAAAAAATTAGCAGGGTATATAATAATAACTTTTTTGATTTCCTATTAACTTGTTTTGAAGTCCTGTAATACTCCCACGATCTTGTTTTCACTCATTAGACTCTGTTCCATTCTGTATGATAGTATCAAGTTTGAGGGTATAGGCAACTACTTTGAAGGCAATAAGATTCACTAAGATGCCCATTCTAGTTTGACTATTGTCTCCTTTGGAAGTCCTGTAATTTTTACAGTGCTTAATTTTATTGGTTTTGTTCTCTACTGTTTTGTTCAACTTTATAATATATAATGAGATAGACAATTCTTTTTAAGGAAACAAGAGACATTGTTGATAACCATTGTTGATGACCTTGTACTCTGTTTTACATCATGTGCTATGTCTTTCCTTGGTTTGATTGACAGCTTTGTTTTGCCACATTTGACTTTATTCTCTCCTCCCCCCCAAAAAAGTAATAAGAACTAAGAAGTAATAAAACCCAAAATGTGTAAATTTTGTTGTAAAAAAGAGAGGGAAATAAAGAGTTCTGAATGATACAACAGCAAGAGTGTTTAGGGGTGTTAAATAGCTAACCATATTAATGTTTTTGGTTGGATCACTGAACACAACTGTTTGCAGTCTCCCTGTTTGAGTGTCCACTTTGTATGCTTTGATACTGTGATTTGAGCAACTATCTCTAAGATGATAATATGTAATTTATTAACCGGTGATTTCTTACTTTTTTTTTTTTGTAGTTCTGTATTACTTGTACCCTTACACTGCTTTGTTTTGTTTTGTTTTTTCTCTTTTTCCTTTTAAATAAAATTTTAAAAAATGACTGGAAAAAAAAAAGATGTATGTACTCAAGATACAACTATTCCATACGGCAAATAAAGTACAAGTTACCTTGAAGTTTAATGTAATGTGTTTATTGTGTATTATTTACCAACTAATGTTTAAATAGTACTTGATAATTTCTGGAAATTTCAATTCAAATAATCATTTTACATGATCATTTGCAACAAAGTAGAAATTATTTCTCCTTTCATAATAAAGGAGCCTTTCATGGTCAAGTGAGATCCGAAATTTACCCATAGCAATATAGCAAATAAGTGAATACCTTTGACTTCAATTCATGGATTCTTATCATAAAAGTCACGGTAAGAAATATGTAAAAGAAAAACAGGCTAAAGTAATTAAATACAAGACAATGACTAGTTTGAGGCAAATTTTTTAGGATACAAGGCATTCCAGGCTTTCAAAAATTACACGCCAATTTCAGTTTTGCTGATTGTCTGCTCTGTGATTTGTAAGAAAACATTTTTATTTCTCTGCCTGACATATAACAGGCTCCTACTTTCAGGAAGGTAACTGATGGGCTCACATTTTCAGTGCCATCACTGATGGGAGGATACTATCTGTCTGTTACCTTTCTCAGTCCCTCCTTATCACAAACAGAGGAAGAGTCCATACATACGTGAAAAGTTCCAAAACTTTAGACAACATATAATTCTGACTTGCCTAACTCTGACTAACCTAGTTTCTCAGAAATACCTAATCTTCCCAGATTATTTTCACATGGAAATATTCTTTTTACTCTCTTATCACCTTGAAGTTTTAGTTCACATCACTGATTCCATCAAGTTTTGTGGTTGCTTTCTTCCCCTATCTATGATTTTTGGGAAAGGCTTAAGGAGAGCTGCGTACTACATGATTTTACAAAAACAGCTTAACAAAAAGAACAGGAGCATGAAGATATAGCCTGGCAAGTAGGAGGCCCTGGATTCAATCTTGGGGAGGGGGGACAGGAGGGTTTTAGGAAAATTTATCTAGATTACACAGGCCACTTCAGAAAACCTGATTCCTTCTCAGATACTTCAAATATTTTTTTAAAAAAATACTATATTTCAGTGTGCTGCCTAAAAATATATTTCTTTTAATTTCAAAATTTAAATATAATTGCTATCACGGCCTTTGAAATATTATAGTTATTTTACAGTCATTCTTTAGTCCTACCTGCCCTGTGGATGTCAAAGCAAGTGAAGACTGGCTCCCAGCACAAACTTTGCAAATGAACATTCCTTTTAAAGCTTCAATAACTTTAGGTTTATACACTCTGTTGGTGTCACCATGGCCAAGCTTACCTATAAAAAACAAACATATTTTCAAGTTAAGCATTTTACTTATTCTAAAGACCTCATATTCTGTTATAAATATTAAAGTTGACAAAGTGCTCTAAACTTTTCATCACTTATCTGACAGATGTTGAAAACTGACAACAAAGCTTATTAACAAATGAGCATTTTTGTTACAAGAAAGTTACCAACCAGCTACTAATCACTTTCTGTATCTTAACCTCATGCAATTAGAATCATTTTAAAGAGATATGGAAAAGTCTTTTTTTTTTTCTTTCTTCCCCTTTAATGGCCGTATCTCTTAACTTCAACAATACACAGGTTCTTGTTGGATGCGGTGGTGCACACCTGTAATCTCAGCACTTGAAAGGCTGAGGTAGCAGGATCTTCACAAGTATGGTAGAGGTCATCCTGGGCTACATAGTAAATTCCAGGCCAGCCTGAACTACACAGTAAGACACTGCCTCAAAAACAACAAAAACAAATAAACAACAAAAAGCTAACACGTAGCTTCTAGACAAAAATATGTATTCATGTAATTTTTTAAAACTACAAGTTATTTTCAATATAAACTTTTTAAAATTATCTTTAGTGTGTGAGGTACTGAGGATTAAATCCAAGGCCTTCACACTGAGCTACACCCCCAGCTTTTTTTCCAAATTTTGTTTTTTATTTTGAAACAGAAACTCATGAAGAAGCCAGGAATGGTGGTGCACACCTATAATCCCAGCATTCAGAAGGCTGACACTGAAGAATCATTGCAAATTCAGGATACTAAATTCATTCAAGGCTAGTGGGACCCTGTCTCTAAAAAGATCTTGTGAAGTTACCAGATTGTCCAAACTAGGCTCAAACTTGTAATTCTCCCACTTCACCTCTCAGAATGCTTGGATTACAGACAAAACTTTCCGCACTTTGAAATTTACTTTTCGTATCTACACTTTTGAGGGATACAAGCAGTTGAGCATTCACACTGCTAGTGGAAGTGACTAATTAAAGTGAGCAATGATTTAGTCATTCATTGCAATGCTTTAATACTGAAAAAACCACAAACCATGTAGGTACTCGACAATTGGAAGGCAGTTTATAAATCATACTGAAGACACATGAAAATATCGATCCTTTTACAACTGTTAATAGGACATTGGTTGATATAGAAAAGATACTCATAAAAAACAGTCTCATTTGGGCTGGAGATTTAGTTCAGCAGCACAAGCACCTGCAAGCACATGGTCATGAGTTCGATCCCTGATACTGATAAAAAAGTCTCATTAAATCTAACAGGTTATAAAATATCTATGAAAATACACATGTCTACTTTAGCTTTTAAATACATCAATAGAGACATACATATAAATATTTCTGCGTGTGTGTTTGTATATGTAGATATATATAGAGAGAGATATGCAAGTCTACCTACCAAATGTTAACAATAGTTAAGACAATATTGGTAGGAGTAGAGTTTAATTTTTATTTCTGTTCATGTGGAGTTTTTCTATACTACAAACATGTCACTGAAAAATAAATCTTTTTTTAAATAAATCTTTTAAAAAGTCAAGAAGAAAGGCCAAAGCAACTGATAAATAATTTTTTACATACCATTGTCTCCTCCTCCAAAAGACCACACAGTTCTTCCATCTTTAGACAGAGCAATAGTATGTGAACTGCCACAAGAAACCTCTCCAACATTGCTAATGTCTTTTACTAACGTTGGAATGTTACGGCTATTGCTATCACCATGACCTTACATGAAAAACACAATGAAGAAGCAGTGTTAACTCCTTTTCTATAGGAAATCATTGCAAAAGTAGAATAAACATCACAAGTTATTTTGAAGTGCATTTAAATATGACAAGTGGAATCATTCCTAGCATCTTCTTAATCAGTCATTCAGTAGAACAACTGGGGCATCCAGACACCAGTGAAGCATCTGACATTCTATTAATGGTGCTAGAATCATGCTTGTATCAACTTGTTTCCATGACCCAGTAGATTATAACATCATATCATGAAGGTATGTCTCTTATTCCTAAAGCTGTACAGTGCCTGGCCATAATATAAGCTCTAGGTTAAAAACTTACTAGATTTAATTACATTTTACATAACAGCATGAGCCTGTAGGTATAAAAACTATATGCCCCTGAGCTTAAAATTAACATAATAAATGGTCTATATATCTATTCTCACAGCTTCTCAGTAACTAATCATTTTTATTTTCTGCAAGAATAGCTTTAATTTTTTAAAAAAAAATTTACCTAGTCTTCCAAAGTCTCCTTCGCCCCATGTATATAATTCACCATCCTCTGCAACAGCACCACTGTGTCGGTATCCAGCTGACACACAAACAACTACCTGCATGACACACACGGGAGTTTAAAGAGCACAGATGCTAAAACACACAGTCTGTACACTTCAAAGATACTAATATTCTACTAAGACTTCAAGATATTAATAGTCACAGCACTTTCAGAAACTATTCTAATATGGAAACTACACTCAGGACAAGACATGGGTGTTTTGATTACTTGTAAGGTAGTCAAGGAAGTGTCTATGTTCTACTTGCCAAGGAACAAACCTTGGCTTCCACCCACGTGAGAGAACTTTTCTCAATTTATGTAAAGGCACTGCAAGGGCTGGCAGGATCTCTAAAGATATCAGTCTAAATACTTGTAGAAATACCAAACGTATCTTGGCTTAGAGTAGGAAAGATCACAGTCCTTTCAGAACAATAATAAACTCCATTCCCAATACTGAGGAATGAACCCAAGGATGCTCTACCATGGAGTGACATCCCCAGCTCTTTTTATACTTTGAGACATGTTCTCATTAAGTTGCCCAGGCTCATCTGGAGCTCGTGACCCTACTGCCTCAGGGTCCTAAATAGCTAGGATTACAGGCACACTCCACAGTACCTGGTTAACAATTTTTACATATATAGTTAGCACAAAATATCTAGATCTAGCTGATCAAGAAAATCTCATTGTGGGGCCGAGGATTTAGCTCAGCAGCATAAGTGCCTGCCTGGCAAGCATGAGGTCATGAGTTCAATTTCTGGTATAAAAGAAAAGAAAATTATTATAAACTGGGTGTGGTGGCACATGGTAATTACCCTGACACTCAAGAGGCTGAGGCAGTAGGATCACAATGAGTCCAAAACCAGCCTCAATACACAATGAGTTTCTGAACTACACAAGACCCTGTCTCAAAAACAAAATCTTATATAATAGATCTCTTATTATATAATAAAGAGATTGATTATTACCAATTTAGAAAACTCAAAAGCAATATATAGGCGTCTATTAATTAAGGGGGTAAAGAATCAAGGGAGTAAAGATGTACAGTACATCAATATAATGCAGTTCTAACACTGATAGAAATCATAGCAACCAAAAATTTGAAAAAAATAACTGCACTAAAAGCTCCATATCTATTTAACCTCCAAATATTAAACCACACTGTAGGAAACTAAATATGAGATTAAATTAAAAATATTCAGCACCAGGCAGGGAAGGGAGGTGGTGGTGGCACTGTAATCCCTGCACTTGAGAGGCTAACGCAGGAGGATCAATGTAAGTTTGAGGTCAGCCTGAGCTGCTACTGAGTTCAAAGCCACTCTGAACAGCAGAGGAAGACTCTGTCTCAAAAAAAATCAGCATATAATAGATTAAATAGATGCTAAAAACTTGTGAAATGTTTCTCAATTTAAAATTGTATGATATTTTTCCTTTATCATATTTGTACTATTATTTGTTTTGTGGTATTGGCTATTGTATTCAAAGCTTCACACAGAGGCTTGGCAAGCCCAAACACCTGAGCTATACCTTCAGCAACCCCCCCCCACCCTTGTTTTATCTACAGGGTCTGAGTTTGTCAGGGTGGCCTAACACTTGGAATCCTCCTGCCTCAGCCGCCCATTAGCCAACAGTACAGACATACACCACCACACCCCACACTACTTTTTTTTTTTTGTTTTTTAATTTTATTTTGAAAGTAGTAAAATACAACAGATCAAGACAGAATAAAGCCAACTAAAATCGTACAGTGCAATTGGTACAGAACTTCACAGCAAGTTACCGGGATAACAGTAATAAGTATCACAGTATATTTCATTATCTTTACAATAGTTGTTCTTTCAACCACATATATCAAAATAAAATGAAATACAGAATATTACAGAACTTATCAAAACAGAATATTGAATAGAGCAGTACCATTAATCAAAATAGAGCAAAACAGTTACAAAAATATTTGCCTTCAAAGAGATGGCAGAAGGAAATCCCCCTTATTTGCTATGGTCAATCTCCCAGGTGATGCTCAGATTTCTGGTTCCCATTTGCTAATGGGGGGACAGAAGAAGTAGGGTAAGGAAAGTGGGATATTTGACTGTGGACCATGCACCAGTAGCTTCACTACTGCTTAGCAGGGAGGCAGGCTGGTTGCTTCGCATGTTCCAACATAGTGTGGATCTCAGAAGACACTGGTGGTTCTCCCCATGAAGGGGCTGTAGTCTGCCACACCACTGCTGCTTACCAAGGAGGGGAGCTGCTTGCTCGGTTTCCCAGGGTCCTAAGTTCCAACATGGTACAGATCTCAGGAGACACTGGTGATTCTCCCCCTGGAAGGGCCCAGCCGGCCACACCACCACCGCTTACCAGGGAAGGGAGCTGCTTCCTTGGTCTCCCAGGGTCCTAAGTTCCAACATTGTGCAAATCTCAGAAGACACTGGTGGTTCTCCCCCTGGAAGGGCCGTAGTCTTCCACATCACTGCTGCTTACCAGGGAAGGGAGCTTCTTGCTTGGTTTCCCAGAGTCCTAAGTTCCAACATGGCGTGGATCTCAGGAGCTGCTGGTGGTTCTCCCCCTGGAAGTGGTGCAGTCTGCCACACTGCAGCCTCTTACCAGGGAGGGGAAATGCTTGCTTGGCTTCCCAGCATTCTAAGTTGCAACATGGCGTGGATCTCAGGAGACACTGGTTGTTCTCCTCCTGGTAGGGCCACAGTGCCGCCGCTTACCAGGGAGGCATGCTTCTTGCTTGGTTTTCCAGGGTCCTAAGCTCCAACATGGCATGAATCTCAGGAGACATTGGTGGTTCTCCCCCTGGAAGGGCTGCAGTCTGCCACACCGCAGCTACTTACCAGGGAGGGGAAATGCTTGCTTGGCTTTCCAGCATCCTAAGTTCCAACATGGCACAGATCTCAGAACAGAATTGATTTGAATGATGGTTTTCTCTATCTCCATGGTTAACAACGTTAATAACAACGGCCTCCGGCCTCTGTCAATCTCACTTACTTGTTTAACAATTGGACCTTACATTATAAATGAATTAGTAAATTATGTCAAAGTTCAGATTCATAAAACTCATGATTTTAAAGACACAAGTTTATGAACAGATACCGCTACTTGAAAACTCCATGAGCCAATCTTTTGGTTCACTGACAAAAATCAGGGGGAATGTTATGCTCTATGCTTATCACCCTAGTAACCATGTACCCAGAGCACCAACCACATTAGTTATAAATTAACTGAGGTGTGCCATATTGTTCTGTATGCATCATCACCTTAGTAACCTGTTTGCTGTGTCAACCATTGTTCCCTTTGTGAAGAGACAAATGATGATGTGTCAACCTTTGTTCACCAAGGGCTGTAACTTAAGAAAAAATAAAAAGGCCTACTACCAACTGTGAAACATCTCTGACCTCAAGCAAAGGGAAACAAAGGCCTTCCTAATTCCTGCTCTGTCAGGTCACTCAGTTAATGTGCTATAAAAATCTGTCAAAATTCTGATTTAGTTGCACAGCTTTGCAAACTCTATCTTCTCTATGCCACTGGGTACTAGCTTAAATAAAGAGCTCTCTTACAGACATCTTGCCCTCCCCCCCTTGACAACAAACAACATCATGGGGCTACAACACTGACCACCTCCCTGATGTGTGGGAAACTCCCTAGAGCTGCTGCCCCATGCCTGTGTCCTATTATACTGGCCCCACAGGTCCTCACACACCTTGATGGGATTAATTACTGGTAGGTCACTCTGATTGGCAGGGCCAGGCTCCCTCTCTGTAATCTCTAAATGGCATTTGGGGAACACGACTCTCTCCCCTGTCCCTCTAGCTCCAGACACGGGGATCCAAGGGATCTCAGGGCCACCAGGATGCCCTTACTGCACTCCCAGGGCGAGGAGACCAAATTCACAGTGTGTATGGGCGAAGGCCTGAGCCCAGAGTCCAGGGGAAGACAGAAGATGAGGCTTGACAGGGTGGCATTAGGGTCAAATGAAACCCACTCTCGTTAACCATTACCATCACTTTTTTTTTTTGTCTTTTTCTTTTTTATCGGTACCAGGGATCGAACTAACGATTGCCTGTTTATAAGGCAGGCGCTTATGCCACTGAGCTAAATCCTCAGCCCCTACCATCACTTCTTAAAGGAGTCTTCATACTAAGTAGGAAGCTTTTCCAGGAAAACCACTCTCCTCTCACCTAGAAAATATCATTTGGTAAAACTTTTTTTTCAGACTGATGTAACTTTCAGGAGATGCCTGTGTGAAGTCCAGTGCTTGGGACCAACTCGCATGGGTAGTCATGCACACGCATACACACACACCTGCACCTGTGAAGTGAGCTTAACGTGAGAGAGCTGGGGCGCAAGGTCACAGTCCGTCTGGGGTCCGGCTTGATAGCGCCCAGGCCAGGCCTGAGCTCAGGATCCCTGATTGCCCTCCTCGCTGGGCTGGCTGGGCTAGCAGTGCGGTGTGGAGCAGAGCAGAGTGGGGATCCCCACCCCAACCCACCCCCGTGCCCTCTGAGCACCCTTGTGGGTGGCTGAGGACTCCCTGCCACAGGCATGGGTGCTGCTGGTTTAGGGGTTTCGGCAGTTTCCTAGGAGACCCTGGGATCCTTGGCTGCCTCCAAGACAGGCTGCAGGAGGGAGTCCCCGAAACGCAGGCTGGTACAGGGGCAAATCACCAAGGGGCCAGTGAACCCCAGACCATGTGTGCCCCTTCCCCTTGTACCCACTGGTGCACGCTAGATGGCTCAGAGAAGGCACGCACCTGGCGGCCCGGGGACACGTGGAGCCCAGCAAGTTGGAGGCCACACAGAGGCCACCATCTGGGCCAGAGCAGCCATTGCGCCTGGAAACGCCATGCCCTGGCACCTAGGCTGTGCCAAGCTGACTGTCGCCGCACGGACCAGGTGGGTCTCCCGGCCCCGCGCGGCTGCAGTGGGCCTCCTGCGGCCCGCACCCCGGACCCACGCTGCTTTCCAAGACCCAGGGCCCCGCGTGCCGCGCGTGGCTGTAGCAGCCTCCGCCCCACCGCACCCAGGCTCTGCACCCCCTAGGGCGCCCGCACGG